AGATGAACGGCTTTAATAATCAGTTGCTAGGCTGTAATCCAGACTAACAGCGAGAGTGCGTAAATAAAAATAACTATTCAAATGAAATTTGTTTTTTGGGTCATAACTCAGCAGTTGCATGTAGATAGAAGGCCAAAATGCTGTCATTATTTGGCTTCTAAAATGGAAACTTTTTACAAGGTAACAAAGTGTGTGAAAAGTTAAAATTTTTAAGGCTACGAAGGCTTAATTTTCCCTTGTTTCCCTCTACAGTTTTTCCATTCACTTCTGCTTGCCAGTTGCATGTTTCAAATGAGGATTTAGGACAATATCATGTTTCCCATCAAAGCAATCTATTTTAGTCCCATGAATATATTCAAGACCATCCTTTTACTGTGTTCTTTTCCGATGAGATGCAAAGTCAGGAAACTGTAGTGTTTGTTTATTGCCTTGAGTACCCACGAGGACACATTGCAATTGTGTGTGTAAAAACCGCTGGGACAAAACAACAGGAAATGACAAAGGAAGGAGCGCTTTGGCTATTTTCTTAGATGTGTTTGTTTTACACGAATTTCAAAACATCTTGAAGTGCTTAATTTCATCAAGCCTGATTTATTTGTGTTGCTTCTGCTCTTAGAAGTGGCATCTTGGCTCAGTTGTTAATACTCCACCCATACATCATAGCCCCAGTATGTCGAAGGCTAAAACCCCAAGATGTTGTAGTCAAATTAATTATCTTTTTTTTTCTTGTTAATTGCATGGTAGGAAGCTTCCCAGTCCCAGTTAAATGTCGCCCTCTGCTGACCCATTGCTCTGAAAACAAAAAAGTGATGGTACAGGAAGTATTTACTATATATTGCCATTAAAGAATATTCAATATCGATTCATATTAGCCCATACTAAAACACATATGAAACATGATATAAGTTTTTAAAGTCATACAGTAGACTTCATCAAAGGTCTTTTTTACTGAATTAAAACACTTTCAGGCTTTTCTTTCAGGAAAGTAACTACAGTATATTTCCAGGAAGTCTGGATTTTTTTTTGTTTCCTTCATAAATCATTATGATTGACGAGATAAAATAAACAAGATGCAAGTACAACTTAAAAATAACTTCAAACTGTTGCTTTTGTTACTTACTGTAGACGTACTGTATGTTCAAATAGCATTGTGAAACAGATTTAATTGTACATTTTTACAGCAGAGGTTTGGCTCAGAATGACAATCTGGAAAATTTCTGATGTAACACAAATTAATAAAATGGGGGGCTTTGTAGGAAGATATAGACAACTCAGTCTTACGGAAAGGTTTGCAAATTATAGCTGCAAGGTGAATTAAAGAAAGTTGCAAGGTGAATTAGAAAAAAATATGTAGATCAATTGTCATTTCAGAAGCACAAAGTGCAGAATTTAAATTCAGGGAAGTTGTGCTTAATACACTAAATTCATTACTAGGACTGTAATATAGAATATAGTGTTAATTTCTTAACACACTGTGGTCACTATACCATGTAACATTCTTACAGACTTAGAAAGTGTCCAAAGAATAACAAGAAGAATGATTCTTGAACTCAGAGCATATACAAACAGTTTAACAGATCTAAGTATCTTAAGTCTTGAGCACCCAATATTGAGATATTTAATTACATACTGTAAATGGGACATAGTTGGAAACTAAAAATCATTTTTTATAGGGTGTAGAATAGGAAATATTTTTTTACACAAAGCATTATTGATATCTGGGGCAGGCTTCCCATGCAGATGGTTGAGTCCAACACTTTTCACTTAAGAAATGGCTGGATAAAAATGTATTCGCTTTTAGACTACCAAATGAGTAAAAAAGGGTGAATGGTCTCCTCGTTTGCAAACTGTTCTATGTTCTTAAATACCTTTTTATTCAGAAAAAATGTATTTTTTTGGAATGCATCCATGATTCCACAGGATTTGACAATGTGACAATAATCACTGCTGTACAGTATGTATGTCTTCTTTTGAAATGTCTGGGTAATAAAGCTTTCTCTAAGTTGACTTTTAAATTAAGGTGCTGTTAAAAGAATTTACAAAAAATGTGAACTACCTTACCGATAAGTTACAGAGACAAAGATAAATACCAGTCTAAACTATTCATCCAACGAGAGATAAAAGACAACACAGAACCCAGGTGAGGAGACATGACATGTTGCTCTACTATACATTTCCCAGTTTAGCCATTTTACATAGTGGCTTTCATGAGGCTATGTGACAGAGTCACAGAGACAGAAAAAATACATTACAGTAAAATTGCAGCAGGAGTCCAATAATTGCTTTCAAAACTGTCACAGTACAGCACTGGTGCTTTGAGTCTTATTTTAAGCACACCCACGGACCTAGAGTCTCTTATTGACCTAGACAGCACATTCCATAGTCTTAGAACTTAGCAACAGAATGCTCTAATGCAAAATGTACTGTATGTAAAGTAGATTTGGGAAAGACAGCAGAGCAACTACTGAAAGGATTCTATTAAAGGAAGTGGGATTTCATTAACTCCTTACTGATATTGTAGGACAGATACAGCCCATTTAGAAGTAAATATTAAATTACTTTATTTTAAAAAAATATATACTTGACTATCTTTGGGAATATACACTTATATTACATCCTAAAAAGTGGTCAGTATCTACAGTATGTATAAAACAAATGGACAGTACAATGGCGAAATACTGTAATCTAAGGAAATGCAAAAAAACTTTAGTTTGTGTCTTTTATTGTTGGAATAATCATTGCCAGAACATATCTCTATGCATCTAGACTCATGTACTGATTGTCTGTGGGGGCCAAGCCTGATTCAAATACTAAACACAAATTTATCTTATCTCACTCATTCAAATAAAAGCCATATGTTTAATTCAGACCTCTTCCATCCATGCAGACACATGAAATGTAACTTATGTAATGAAATAACCCACAGTAACTGTCAGTAGCCATGAATAACAATAGCCAAATTAACAATAAACTGAAATTTAAGTAAAGTGAATGTGGCCCCTTTATGTCAATTTTTCAATTCTGTAAATAGTTCTTCTTGTGTATTGATGCATAATCTCCATGACAATCTTCAGTCTGATTATTAACTAACAAAGACTGATCAAAATGTCTTGAATGATGTTACCCAACTTATTCATTCCACTCACTTTATAACAGTACAATAAAAAAGTGTACAAAGTTCAAAACATTTAATTATTATGTATAATATAATGTATATACAGTATATTGAAAATCAATTGTAGCTTTCAAATAATGACCTATGAAATTCTGCAGGATTCCATGTGACAGGAAAATGAAATTAAAAGTATCCACTTTATTATACATTTCAAACCATTTATTTAATGCAGAAGTTCATTTATCTTACATCTTGTAAAGGAAAACACAGGTGCAGGTTCTGGCTGCAAGTCAAAACATACTATTCACAGGTTTTCTGCAGGTTACAGACACTGGGATCATGCCCCTATTCCTTCAGAACATCTGCTGGCATAGACATGAAATCAAAATGTTCCCCATTTCAAATGATTGCACTCTTTAACAGGAAAAATAGCATTCCGAAAATGGATGGATGGAAAATATCGCAGTCTAATGAAAACAGAGTTATGATTACAGAATACATGTCTAATGCTGTGGGGATGAATTAATGTGTTGAAATAAAGTGCAAAGAATGTAGCGATCTGGGACTTGGCATTTCTTAATGCATTTTAATGTACAATGTATTCCAAGGCAGTAATTTTCATTACCTAATTGACTTAAATAAAAGGTCTCAGCATCAACTAGACTTTGTTCTTTTTACCTCTTTCATTATTTCCCCACAGGAGTTGAATCATCTAGAGAAAAGGTTCATTTAAACATATGGGCATACAGTATTATGTATTACACAGAGTGGCATATTGAATATCTTCCACAAATGTTTACTGTCTCGTAATTCTTTCAAGATTTGACATATACCTGTATATTGTATGTTGTCAACAATGGAAACGTACATAAAATAATTGCAGACTGTTGTATGACAGCTTCATTAGGTAACAGAACCATAGTGTAATAAAGCAAAATAACAAACTATCTTAAGCTATTGCAATAAGATCTACAGTGCAATATCAAATACAGAATGTTTCTGCTCTCTGTTCTCTAATTGCATTTACTTCTGTGACATAAAATCCCGAATGACTCAAAATTTCCTTCATTTCAACTGCAACAAGACTGAAGTCAGGCTTCTCTGCACCTCCTATCAACTGTTTAAAGGCAGTGCAAAAACTACTTGTCTTTCGTCTCAGAAATATTGTCAGACTACGTCTTATGTTTTCCCTGACTGTAGCTGAAAAGCTAGTCAATACATTTGTCTTTTCCAGAATTGATTACTGTAATGCCCTACTCACTTGGTATCTAAATCCACACTAAACAAACTTCAGTACTGTATGTCCAGAATTCACCAGCCAGAATCCTGACCAGGTTGTGTGCATGTGATTACGTTACTCCTGTCATGGAGTCCTTGCACTGGCTTCTTATCAGGTTTCATGTCTACTTCAAAATCCACATGCTTAACTTTAAGGCTATGCATGGCTGGCTTAGTATTCATAGTATCTTCCTACTGACATATTATCTTCCTACTCTCCACCTTGCAATCTTTGTACAGTTGATTCCGGACTTCTGTTGTCCCCCAAGCTTGCTTACACTCCATGGGTGACAGGGTCTTCTATCATTATACAATAAAGCTCTGGAATTCTACCTCTCAGGATATCAGAAAGTCGCCTTCCCTAAATGCATTCCAATCCAGACTCAAAACCTTCTTTTTCAGAAAGGCTTTTATGTACTGTAATTGGTATCTCTGTCTGCTCCTTGCACCTTCCACTGCAATTATAATTCCTTGTGTTTCTTTCTGCTAATTTTCTTATATAATTTTCTCCTATCTTTGTTACTTTTTTAACTTTTCCTGTAAAGCATTTTGAGAAGATACTTTCAGAGGTGCTATGTAAAATAAATTGTATTATTATTATGTTGGTGTGACTAATGAAAAAAGAAAATAATCATGAACATGGCTTTAAAATTTAGAATCAAAACATACATTAAAAATAGATGCTTCTGTTGCAGATATCATGCAGTGCATTATTAATAATGATTTGCACGTTCCAGGGTAGGCAGTGCTAAATAAGTGTGAGAGTGGGTACAGTATGTGTCAGGAATTATGATAAAACAATGCTAGGTTTACTTGTTGGATGGATGCATGTGTAGCATGTGAAACTAGTTAATTCTCATTAAGAATTGGAACTGTTTTAGCATCATTAATTTAGTAGTATTAAATACAATATAGTAGTGTTATATATGCACTGTACAGTATATATTATACAGTATATGTGCCATTTATCTTTTTAAGCTCTGAGTTTTCTATGAAAGTTCTCTTATGCTCTATAAATACTATAAATTTCAGTTACTTTATTAATCATTCATACTGTTAAAATATTTTTGTATTAATAGCTTCATTTCTAAACAACATAAGAATGTAATTCTGATATAATTCAGTCCTTCATATAATGAAGTGTCACATCATGTTGATGCATTTTACATAGCAGTACTTTTGAGTTCTATATCTCTTTTATAGTCTTCAAACAGTAATTTAATTTCCTTATCTGGAATATAGAAAATCAATGGTACTGCATGTGGAAGGAGAAGATAATGTTATGAATTGACAAAAATAAGCAGCGTGTGTCAAATTTAATAACAATCTTTTCATCTTGGAAACCAGAAAATTATGTAACCACACATGCAGATCAGGACAATGGCTGGTAAAGTATTTATGGGATCTGCTAGGAAAACATACATGTGCAGACCTTCTGGAAGATGTACATCATCTTGTTGAACAGTGAAAATGACAGGAAAAGCCTCACTGGTTTGTTTTGATAAAAGTAAGGAATTAAAACAAAGCCATCTCTAATTTCTGTTGTATCTCTGCCAAGAATTTTAGGATGGTCCACGTGCCCCCAGGAGACAGCCGTGATCAAGTGTCCTGACAGTCTTCAAAGCATACTATTCCATGACGTCTGCTATTAGGAAAGGAAGGAGAATAATTTAGGTATTTTAAAATGTGTCCAGTTTTTTTTTCACTTGACCATATGGTATAGGTGATTGCATCTCCAGTCCAGCTTATGAATGCAATGCAAGATTTACAACTTTGCTTTTAAAGTTTACTGAATAAAATGTTGCAGCTGTTGTGTTCATGGAACATTAAATTCAAACATAAGTGGAAAAGAAAGAAATCACCTTAAAATCAGTTTACCAGGTATTCCAGAGCCATTATAAAGGTGGCCTGTTAAAATGCTGTTCTGGAATTGACTTTTTCTTCAATTGTGTGATTGAACACTTTGGATTTTCAGTCCGGAATGATGTGTGCACTGTATGAAGAGAGGCAAGGTGATGTGGGATTGAACATCACTAACAGTAAATGCAAAACCAGCTGTGGTAAACTTTTCAATCTTCAGGGCCCTGTTGCGATGAGCCTAAAAAATTCTTATTATTTTGAACAGAAAGCCAACTCCTACGTGTATTCAAACAGCTTAGATTTCTGAAGACGTTGACTTGCCTGCTGTTATGTCGGATTAACTTCACTGCTGTGTTTTAATAAAAAATAACCAACAGAACCTTCTTTCATAACATTTGATTTTTCTTTTTGTCCACTTTTATTCTATATAAAACACAGTATGGTTTTGTAAGGGCCCTGAGACTCCCCTCAGCCTTTTATTAACATTAATACTTTATCATGAAACACTTTCCCCAGCCATTAAGCTTCTGAAAGACACCCAAGTGAGCTTTCTTTTTGTTGAGTGAACTTAAAATATATGATCCAAATCTATAGCTGAGGGGCTGTATTTTTTCCCAGCATGACTGAGAAAATGAAAGACATTGGTCATAACCATTTACGAGCTGAACACAGTGACAGGAAAAATACCCCCCTCCCAAACTGAGTAAGATTTTATAGTGGGAGACCTTTCTCAGTTGGGACAAAATAAATATAGTAGATGTCAATTCTTAAAGTATTCATATTGGCAGGCAAGCAAACAGAATAAATCATGATTCCTGTTTAAAAAAAGGATAATTATGTTAATAGAGAAACAGTGTAAAGATCTGGTACAATTCTAATTAGGCTTTTAGGAAAAATGAACTTTGACACAGTTCCAAAAATCGGATTAATATTTAGGATCAGACATGGAAAGGTATGAATTGTCTTATTGTGCTTGAAAAAAATTAATAGTACGAGATTAATAAGGAGTAAAACAAGATGAAAGGGTGTAGTTACAAAGATAACAAAAAACCTGCTAATCTTGGGAAATCGTTTTTAAATAGAAGGATTTTAAAATAAATAACATGACAACAAATAACCACGTTTTGAATCTGGAGTATTAACACTATAAAACAACAGACATATCAAACCCATTGAAGAGTGGTAAACAAAGAGAGTTGTGGTAGACACAAAAGAGGAAGATGGACAGAGGTTCAATGCTACTGCAGCAATCAAAATGTTTAAAGTACAAAGCCACTTATCTCCACAAGAAAAATTCTTTATAGCGGGTCCCACATGATCAACAGAAAGTTTTATTTAAGCACAATACACACGCTGACATGCTCAGACAAAAAAACGTAATCCTTTGAGACATTTCTCTACAGTACTGCCAAATTCTGTGTGTGAAATAATCTAGGGGGTTATCTTGTATGAACAGTTTGGTCAAGGTCCTGCATTAACATTTGCGGCATTACGTTGGGGTGTGTCCAGTGTGGAGTTGGAGCCCTGGATGAAGGGCTATGCCTTGGCTTTGTAGTCACAGCTGTTCAGGCTGTTAGACGATGAGCCACAGCTGTGAGGGCTCTATAAAGGCACACTGGACATGCCCCAAATGAATGAGCAGGGCAACCCCCGGAAGGCGAGGATTATTTTCACCGGCAGTCCTGGAGAAGATTGTACCCCCATAAGGCCGTCGTTATTTTTTTCTTTTTGCCTGGCCCGTCATGTATCTTCACCGGGGCAGACAGACCTTTTTCGCACACTGAGTTTTTATTTTGTTTTTGGCCTTGCGCACCTTGTTTTTCCAGACAGGACCCTGTTAATGTCCAGTCTGGCCACTGCTGTGCTAGCGGTTCTTCTTTTTCCCAGGCTGGACCCTGTTGAATAGGGTAAGCCCAGCCTTGATATGCGGCACACCTTCTTTTTTGGTTAATTCTTCACCCTTTTTTGTGTTATTTTCGGTTCCTGCTAACCTTACACCCTCAGTTAGGGGCGTTGACTTTTTACCGTTGCTCACTGCGGCTCCACCCACTCCCACGGTGTTACACATTTCTATGAGGTTTAGGTCAAGACTTTGACTTGGCCAATGCAAAATGCAAAACTTCTTCTTTAGCCATTATTTTGCATTATCTGCTTGTATGTTAAGAATTTTTGTCTTGCTGTCTGACCCATTTTCTGTTTAGATTCAGATGATGAATGGATGCCCTGACACTTTCCTCAAGAAATTTGTCTTTGTGACTCTGAGCCAATGATGGCAAGACATCAGGTTGCACCATGTACCATTGAAGGTTGGGAAGATCTTTATTTTCTGGTAAGCTGTGTTTAATTTTACCACACAAAACATTTCTCATTGTGGCCGAAACATTCAACTTATGACTTGTCTCTGGTGAGAACATTCTTTAAGTAGTCTTGTGAATTATTCAGGTGCCTTTTGGTGAACTTGCGATTTGTGACAATGTTTTTTTTAAGAAAGCAATGCTATTTTTTGTTTTCCTGGCTATCCTCCCATGAAAACCATCCCAATTTAGTATTTTCCTGATGGGTGAGGAATGAACACTAACATTAGCTGCAATTAGTGAGGTCTGCAGATGCTTAGAGGTTACTCTGGGGTTCTTTGTGACTTCATGGATTATTTTTTGGGTTGCTCTTGGGGAGATCTTGGCAGGATGAACACCCAGAGATAGCGTCATCATGGTCTTGAATATTTTCCATTCGTACACTGTCTGACAGTGGAAGGATGGAGCCCCATTTATATTAGGAAAGGTTTCATAACCCTCTCCAGTCTGATGAGCATTAACTGCTCTTTTTCTGAGGTCCTCTGAAATCTCTTTTAATAATGACATGGCATGCTTACACTTGTATGATTAATCGAATCGAAATGGTATTAATCAGTTGTATGATTAATACCAAACTGACAAAGTTGCTTGCCCTAATAGAGGACAGAGCTGCCCAGATTCTTTCCTTGTTAACTATCCAATTATTTAACCACGATTCTAATCATCCCTGTAATTGTGCCAAGTAACCAAAGGGCTCTCTTATTTCACATACACTGCTTTTTAATTATTCTTTTTTTTTCTTCTAACAACAATAAATCTCAAACAACATCGAATTTAAACTCTTTTGGTTATACAAGAAAAAACTGTGAAGCTGTGATTTCCATGATTGTATTGCGGCATCACAAACTTTTCTCAACACTGTACCCAAGTATTTCATTTCCATGTAGAAATATAAAAAAATCCTAAAACAAATCTCTCATAAATCTGATGTGGTCTCCTAAATGTATACAGTGGTCTACAGTGTGTTTTATTTATGGGTGGTTGAATGGGAATTTATCCCTCAATCCAATAAAGGCTTCTATTTATGAAAACAGTAGCTTTTAAAGACTGTAATTTATATGCCAGTTAAATCCTTTCGATGGCAGACAATTTAGTCATTGTTTTGAACATGCCATTGAATGAAAGCAGGAGCTCAGGCAATGAGACCCTTTGGGATGTTTTTCATGCCTACGTGAAGAGGATTTGAAATGTACAGTAGGATCTGATGTTTTGGGATATTTATAATATGCAATTTTATGTAAAGACCAAAACCATTAGAATAGGTAAAATATGAACTTTTATGTTTTCAAAAAAGCTAACAAAATTCCCCTTAATATTTAAATAAGTGATTTATGAAAGATGAAATGAAATGAAAGATGAAGATAAAAACTGTAATTTTAAAATACTGCAAAGTAAAATACTAAATAACGCTTACAGTAGCACGGTATGATTTCTGCTACTAGGTCAAATCAAGTGTAGTCTAAGACTGGTTTCCTAATTTGTTGAAAAACTAAATTTGAACAAAAATGTTTACCAAGAGCCACAATTAAACCAATCATGCACTTAAATAGAAAATATGAAATTCTCTTGTCATACTTGTTTATGTTATAAACAATAGTTTATCCAAAATAGTTTTGATTGGATATCAAAGAAATTTAACTTGTCACTTTCATCAGATCCTCAAAGGCATTGACAAAGTTAATCCATCAGAATTCTCTATGCTGAACAGTGAAACACACATTTTGATAAGTTACATTTTCAGTAAAGTTAAGAAAAATAAAATTAACTACTCTCAACTGGCATCCTATCCAGGATGTGTCTTATCTTGCTCATTGTTTGCCAAGTAAGGCTCTCTTATTTCACATACACTGCTTTACCATGACCATTTATTTGACTAGGTGATTAGTGAAAATGGATGAAGTGAACTACAATCAGGTTATTAACTATTACCACCTTTAATGTAGATTTATAAGATATACATTGCACACTCCTTTTTAAGCTGTTGTATTTGCAGTAGCTCTTAACATTGTTAACACCCCCTGATAACACTCACCTGTCCTACATTATGATACCTGGATTAACTCAGGACTAGAAGAAAGTGTCAGAGAGACAGTATGTCCCACACCCAGGACAGAGGGCATAGCAAAGCCAGTTAGTGAGAATCATATGTAAAGAGACAGTGTACTGATGCAACTTACCTTTTAGGCACAGTCTGAGAAAAATGCAGGGACTTATGAATAAAGGACATACTGTAATTAGGAGACGGAAAAGGAAGACAAACTTCAGGAAAACACTGAAACACTAAATGAAAACATCCAAGTGCAGCCTACAATTATGTAAGGTTAGGTTTGTCACACTGGTTAAATATATATATATATTATTTTCAAAAATATTTTAATTAGTCGTGCACAAACTACACCATTCCAAAAAGGACAGACAGTGGTATTAAGTA